GCGGTGCGTGCGCGCGCGCGGAGCGGTGCGGGAGCGGCGCGCGCGACGCGGCGCGCGCGCGCGCGCGCAGCGCGCGCGCGCCGGCGGCGGCGCGCGCGCGGGAGGGAGGGACGCGGCGGCGCGCGGGGGCGCGCGAGGCGAGCGACGCAAGGGGCGCGCGCGCGCGCGCGCGCGTGCAAAGGCGCAGCGCGCGCGCGCGCGCGGCGCGCGCGCGCGCGCGGGCAGGACGCGGCGCGCGGCGGGCGCGCGCGGCGTAGCAGGCGCGCGCGCGCGTGCGCGCGCGTGCGCGCGCGCGCGCGCCCGGAAGCGCGCGGCCGCAGCGGGCGCGGGGCGCGAAGCCGAAGAGGCCGCGGGCGCGGGGCGCGCGCGAAGCGGGGCGGAAGAGGCAGGCGCGGGAGGAGGAGCGCAGGCAAGCGTGGGCCGCGGACGCGCGGCAAAGGCGCAAGGCGGGGCAAGCGCGCAAGGCCGGCGGCGAAGCGCGCGGGCGGAGCACAAGCAAGGCACAGCGGCGGGGGGGGGGGGGCGGGCGGGCGCGGCGGCGGGCGGGCGGTGCGGGGAGGCGGGGGGGCGCGGGCGTAGCGCGCGGGGCGCAGGCGGCGGCGCGGCGCGCGCGCGCGCGAGGCGCGTATGCGGGAGGGCAGCGCGGCGCGCGGGGCGCGGCGCGCAGCAGAGGGGGGGAGGGGCGGGAGGTGCGCGGGGGGGGGGGTGGCGGTGGCGCGCGCGGGCGAGGGGGTGTGTGTGCGTGTGCGTGTGCGTGTGTGCGTGTGCGTGTGCGTGTGCGTGTGCGTGTGCGTGTGCGTGTCGTGTGCGTGTGCGTGTGCGTGTGCGTGTGCGTGTGCGTGTGGCGTGTGCGTGTGCGTGTGCGTGGTGCGTGTGCGTGTGCGTCGTGCGTGTGCGTGTGCGTGTGCGTGTGCGCGTGTGTGTGGTGCAGTGCGTGGTGCGTGTGCGTGTGCGTGCGCGGTGTGCGCGTGCGTGCGTGCGTGCGTGCGTGTGCGTGTGCGTGGCGTGTGCGTGCGTGCGTGCGTGCGGTGCGTGCGCGGCGGTGCGTGCGTGCGTGCGTGCGTCCGTGCGTGCGTGCGTGCGTGCGTGCGTCCGTGCGTGCGTGGCGTGCGTGCGTCTCGTGCGTGCGTGCGTGCGTCCGTGCGTCCGTGCGTGCGTGCGTGGTGCGTGCGTGCGGTGCCGTGCGTCCGTGCGTCCAGCGGCGTGCGTGTGTGCGTGCGTGCGTGTGTGCGTGCGTGCGTGCGTGCGTGCGTGCGTGCGTGCGTGCGTGCGTGCGCGTAGGAGTAAAATTCAACAAGAAATATTATTATATTCTTGTTAAATTTTTTACTCCTTTTTTCACGTACTAGTAGATCCATACTGCAGTTAGTTATGGTTGTAGTACAAATGGGTCAGCTTGATCGAGGAAGGGACCACGCCATTATATAGTGCCAGCGTTAAATAGCAGCTTAATGCTGCTCTATTCCGTATGGTATATGTAGGGGATCAGAGACCCATTTTACTAGAAGTGAGGAATTCCAGCATAGTCCTTAAGTGATTTGATTCTTAACAGCTTCACAGCATCAGCTTACTATCAGATGAACTGTGTTCTCGTTTGTCTATAAGAAAAGTTGCCATTCTAAGCCAGTACTTGAATACGACTCCACTTGATGGTAATGGATAAAATATGGTAAAATGCACTGCCATTGCTTAACAAAAGCAATTTTCTCTCCTTGAAAAAACACTCACATTGTTACCGGATAGAAAGCCAGATGGTATTCCACTGCTTTGCTCTACACATGACGAATGGAAAGCAAACCGTTTAGTTTGAATACGTGAATACGCAGGTAAACGTCGAAGAAGTAGAGATTGACCGAGCGTCTGTTTATTTATTTATTTAATAACGTTATTGTACTAACTATCAGGGTACAAAAGAAGACTTAATATCAGTTAGCATTCTCTGCCAGACAACCTATGGCGTGGTGAGAAATCAGTGGCAGGTGACTTAAATAACTGAAAAAGAATAAGTTTAAATAGATACATCACATATTAAAATATGGCTTATAAATTACATAAAAACATATTAATACAAACAAATACAAAGTACAGTAATACAATACAATATATACATATATACACATACATAATATATTTAGATAAAGGTAGCAGTACCAAATTGACATTATACTGAGGATGTATTTTTGAAAGATGTTCCTGAACCAATATTTTGAAGGCTATCTTATATGGTGCTTTCCTGATACTTTCAGGTAAGGAGTTTCCGAGTGGTTTCGCCTGAATAGTAAAAAATCGCCAATAAAGCCAATAAAATGGAGTGGACTGAAATTCTTCACATTCACAATATCATTTAAAATGAAGTAGAGTTCCGATAATATACTGTAAGTACGCCTTTCTCGTATAGTTAGCCATTTAAAGCGAATACAAAAATTGAGGGAAATGGTTATATTTTCATAAGTCAAGCTTTTTGGAAAATTTTATACAACGTTTATGTACGGTGAATCCCTTTCAGGGAGGGAAGAATTAAGTAATGTAATATTTGTGTACACTCTAAGAATTCATATAGTTACATTTAAAAAGCCAAGGGGTAAGAAAGTATTCTGTAGCAATTCTTCCATTTCTATTCTGCTAATTACCCAAAAGAGATATAAAACGGCAAAGATAAATAACAGAAGTTAGTGAAATTAAAAGTACTAAAATTGCCATAGTATGTGATTTTTACTTCTACACCTGTCGTCGTGAGAGCTCTAATTAAGAGCAACGAGGACAAAAGTAGTGACTGTAGCAGGCCGTTTTTTAATTTGCGTTTGAATATACGTCAGGAACTGTCTCGTCGGCAAAAAGTACTCTGTGATTTATGTATAGTTAAAAGCGAAAAAATATACCGTGTTTAAGAAACTTAGTGGTAAGTTTTTATATAAAACTCACATAGTTCAAAGACAACCTGTTCAGTCTTGTCCTAAAGTTACTCACATTTCAATCGAATGGAAAGACAGACGCTGGCGAGGTGTTCCGCTCCTTTGCTGTACGCATGACCAACAATGAAGCGAACCGTTTAGTTCGAATGTGTCGAATGCAATCATAGACTTGAAAACATTTAAAAGAACTTCAATTTACTAACTGTTCGCGACGGCCTAACAACCTTAAGAAACAAAGTGATAAAGAATATTGTTTTTTGTATTAATAGTGAAATTACCAAGAAAACTGAGTGAAAACGTGTATTAATATAGTTGTTTAGCATATTTATAACTCTTAGTATGTTTGTATAGAATGTCGATTTGATAACAAGTAATGTAAACAACTTTTATTATATTAAGAAAAATCGACCAATCACAGCGCGTTTTATCGTAGAACTCTCTAGAAGTTTTTTAATTAACTGCGTAATAGTTTATACACAAAAATAATGAAAATAATTTTATGTTCTAAAAGAGTTATAAATATGACATTTAATTAGCATATGGCTTATAGATTAAAGAAGCATAAGAATATTTTTTTATAATTAAACGCATTTCGTAGTTATAGAAAAATTAAAGAATTAAAATACCCAAATATTATGAAAATTTGGGACATTTCGTTTAATAACTTTTTACAATGTTAATGTTTTGAGTAACCTTTATGATATACTAATAAAGTATCAGACTACCGATTTAATGATATATAGCATGTTAGTGTAGCAATTAGTTTTGTATAGAAAATATTGCAATTTATGCCATTTGTATAGTGAAATGTTTATGCAATAAAGAGGCAAAACGGAAAATGGCAAGCGGCACACTGTAAAGTATTGCTAAAGTCTACCTTTAGGGGGCTCGGGACCCAGTACCAGTAGTAGTGTGAACAACTACCAGTGACAAGTGAAGTGAAGTGAGTGGTATCCGGTGGTAGCTGTAGTGACTAGTAGCAGTATATAGTGAATAGTGAAAGTGTTAGCTAGCCGAAAAGGGTCGTAACTGATATTCGCAGTTACACATAGTGAAAGTGTTAGCTAGCTAAAAAGGTCGTAACTGATATTCGCAGTTACACATAGTGAAAGTGTTAGCTAGCCTAAAAAGGTCACTGATATTCGTAGTTACACATAGTGAAAGTGTTACCTGCCTAAAAAGGTCGTAACTGATATTCGCAGTTACATATAGTGAAAGTGTTAGTAGCCGAAAAAGGCGTAACTGATATTCGCAGTTACATATAGTGAAAGTGGTAACTGATATCCGCAGTTACACAAGTGATAAAATCAGCTAGTTTAGTTGATAATAGCTGCTAGTCAGTAGTGTTAGAAAACCAGCTACTACCAATAGATATTTGATACCACCGTACAGTTTATAGAAATCTTTTGAAATATACAGTGACCAACCAATAGTGAACAACCGTAGTTTAACAACAGTGATCAATAAATAATAGTTATAAAATTTCGCGATTAATCAATAAGTTGAACCGCTGGCCACTACCTTGCTATTTGTATTTGTTAATCGTGCATTTTGATTTTAACTACAGTCCACAATATTTCAGCGGCACCAACAAAGACGGCGGGAGAGACCCACCGGAACCTATAGGTGTAGGACGTGAGCGACTTGCGAAGTATCTTCGACAACATTTACTCCGGAGAGTTTCGCCCGTCCGGCACACTAACTTAAATTTAACTTTGTTAAAGTATAAAATATATTATGAGAGGGTTTCCTTTTCCTTTTCCTTTATTTTTATAAAAAAGGTTATGTATCGATAGTCGATTATAAATAATATATAACTTACTCACTCATTTACTACAGCTTATTCAAGCCTAGGGGTAGAGGTAGTATAGACCTTCCCCGCAGATTATCACAATGCGCGGTCATCTGCGTGCATCGACTAAATAATACATTTATTGAAAGCAATGTTTTGCCCAACAACCATTGGGTCGGAAAGTAATCCTGTTCTGGGAAGAAACAACAAGAAACCCAGCGGGATCTTAGAGTTTTCTAAATAGTAGATTCTAGTCTGTTCCATAATTAGAAAATTAAAATAAAATACCATCTTCG